ATTGTTCATAGAGGTGGGCGCTCATATCCATTTAACAAGAATGATCCAGGTCAAGCATGGTAGCAGCGGTTTCTAAGGAATCATCCTGATCTTTCATTTTACGTTTCACAAGCCCTAAATAAAGCATATGCCCAAAAAGCAAATCCTACTATTATCAATGATCATTTTGATAAGCTTAAAAAAATTATTAATGAATATTTACCTACCTCTGAACGAGTCCACCAGGGTGACCACGAAAATTATGGGTCATATGATGATCGATAAAATAACATAATATTCGGTAAAATTAGAATTAATATCAAAGTTAATTTTAGTGTTAGGGTTAAAGTAAAATTCTTATAGTAAAATTGCTCAAGGAAATTTTTTTATTAGAGTATAAAGACCGGTTTCTTATACAAATTTGTAAGATAAAGAAGGTTTTTGACAAAGCGAGTGTTTGTTTTGAATTTTTCTGATCGTATTACGTTATATGAAATTATGATTTATTATTGGTTAATTTGTCATTGATCATCACATGACCTATAATTTTCGTGGTCAACCTGGTAGACTCCCTCTAAACGAATCTAGAATATGAATGAGATGGGTTTTATTATTGAATCTAAACTTCAAAAAGTCATTGCCAAAAAAGGAGCATGTCAAGTTCATCAAGTTTCTTATGGTAGCAATCATGAACACATCTCTGTATATCTAACTATCTTTGCTGCTGGAATATACATATCTTTATTACTAGTATACAAAGGCAAATAAATAATTCTGGGTCTTTTGGATGGTATACCTGCGAGCACTGTGATGAGGTTTACTGATATTAGTTATATACAGGAGGGCCTATTTAAAAAATATATGAGCATTTTGTTATTTCTATTCCTTCTATTCGTCCTGTATTATTAATTCTTGACAGGTACAAAAGCTATGTCAACTACACCTGTGTCAATTACTGTTATAAAAATAATATTCTTTTTTATGCCCTTCCACCACACACCACCTATATCTTATAGTCTGCTAAATTACTCTTTGCCCAGCTCAAGAAGGCCTATGACAGTAAATGTGACAAGTTTTTTACTAATAGTAGCAAACTAGTGACCAAAAACATGTTCGCTAAATCTTTGGACAGACCTATATTAAGACGTACACCTCACAGTAATATGTAATGTTTTCAAGGCAATAGGAATATGGCCATTCAATCCCGATGCTATTAGCCCTAGCCGTCTAGAGCCCTCAATAACAACACAAAGATTCGACCTACAAAATACTGAACAACCAACTTACCTGCTTATTATACTAACTTCATCTACTTCTTCTAAGATCGTTTCAAATCACCTTGGCCCAACCTCTACAAATGAAGAATTGTGATCAGAAATAGAATCGCTTAATAAGAAGATTGAATACTTAGAATCTGAATTGGAACTCTATAAAAATCCTGGTACCAGTTCCTTGCAGTTGGTGTTTAAATACCCTTTGCACCATTGTTTAAAGCAGACCAAAGAACCAGAAAAAGATGAAGAACAACCCAAAACTCAACAGCCTAAAAAAAGACGCAAGACCATGCCTTTTGCCCAGCTTCTAACTAACGAGGAATCATTGCGTTTGTTAAAGAAAGCGGAGGAGGAAGCAGAAAAAACTGCTAACAAAAAAAAGCAAAAAAAGGAAATGACCACTCAACAACAAGATAGTACAGGAGACCAAGAAGGTGCAGAAGCAAGAAATTCACAAGCAGAAAAAGGAGGAAAGAGACCATATGAAAATGGAACAACAACATATTAGAGAGGTAAAACAAATTAAAAAAAAAAATGCAAAAAAAAGTAATACTATCTGATTATATATGATTTGCATCATTTTTGGTCATTATCTTGATGATCTCGATTTTTGGAAGAAATTTTCTGCAATTAGAAAAGTTTTTTTTTTTAATAAATAAAAAATTTTTTTAAAATAAAAAAATTTATTTCAAGTTAAAATAAACTTATTTTAATAAAGTTTGACAAATGTTTAAGTCAATTTAACAAAATTTTCATATCGGCATATTTAACTGCGTCATAATACCCATATTCACCTTATATGAAATATAAATTACTCTAATAGATTTACCACAAAGATAAAATGATCCTAAGGGCCTTAAAGACAGTTTCTCTTTAGAAAAAATATCCAATGATGCTAAGTTAATCAGAGAGTTTAATTAAGTAACCCAAGTAACCCAAATAATAGTAGGTTATAGATATAGTATCTAGTGTAGAATCTAGTAATAGGCAGACTACTTAAATTAGATGCTTAAAAGGTGCAGGTATTGCTAGAATGTACTTTTATTAATGTAACAAAGTTAGGGTAGCCTATGTGGTTGCCCTGGCATTCGAAACCAAAGTTAATAAAACATGCCAGACCCCAAAGTAGTCACCTTAACATTAAAAAAAAAAAAAACTATATATATATACTAATAAACAACTCACCTTCAATATTAAAAAAAAAAAAAAAAATTATTTTTAGAATTATACAATATGTTTTTATTTGGAAACACTTATATAAATATAAAATTATTATTATTCATATGATTCGCATTTGTATACTACGTGTTTATATGCACCATAGTACCCTAACCCTTCTTTATGTTGTTCAGAATCCTATTGTATATTTTCTGCTACGCATCAAGACAAAAGCTATTTTTATGATTCAAGCTACTGTAATAGATAGCACTTAATACGTACATATAATCAGTACGTATGACCAATATGATTACATTACGGCGAATTTGTGAGTATTTGACTAGGCTATGAAGTGTATATCTTTTAATATACAGTCGATAAGCACTAATTGCATGCTATCAGTCAGAGACTTTTTATATATATATGTAGACAGTATATGTATTTAAGTCATAAGAACTAGTTTGGGTAAAAGTCGAAGTATAGAGTGTAAAATCATATGGATAACATCTAATCCATCTTTTCAAGGAAGATATGTTAGACATTATCCATATGATTTTATATTAAGGAGTGTTAAAACTGAATTTCACAAATTCTATATAATGATGTGACCAAGGCCACGTCAGAAAAAAAGGTTATCAGCCAACACTGAGTTAAATATATACATACGTAGATAATTTAAAATTTTTAAAATCTTTTAGTTAAGTGTCACACCGCGTGTTAAAATATCCGGTCATTAGTCAAACTCTTATTAGGCTATAACTACGTAGTCAATTCAGCTTTATATTTAGTAAATTACTAATAATGGTAAAATTAGTGTTTGTAGTCGATTTTGTGTTAGTCGATTTTATCGACTTAGCCAGCTAAGCCAGCCGATTTTTTGAAAAATCGACTTAATATTAGTCGATTTAATACTGGGTCATATAGAAATTATAATAACTAATCAAATTTTACAAAAAAAAATACATAATAATGATAAATAAATTTGCATTCAATCGGATAACAGATCAAAGTCGCTCACGTACGTATATACATACATTATCAAGAATTCCAATTTTATAAAATTTTATATAATAATACGCATACATTCACATAAACTGGTTTTCTTAATCGGGAAGATAATTACTAGTATAACTGCATATGGATTTAGAATATCGCCCACGATGATACTTCTTGATTTCTCTGACAATGATGCAACAAATTATGCGTGCTGACTTGAAGATTATGCACAAGGTTCAAAACCCTATTATTATGAGCCATATTATATACTGATCATATAGATACGCATCACTGTAAATATGGTACTGGTACAAGTCTTCTGTTATAGTATTAAACAACAATGTATTCAATAAAATGACAAAGATTAAATAAATAAAAATGAATTTTTTGTTTGATAAAATTTTTTTAATACAAATTCGTATGCCCCAGGCCATTCATAATAATCGAACTTCTTTGCTCCAAAAAAAATATATTTATGACATGATCCACGCTATTCTAGCTATAACAAACTCTCATTAAAGACTCAGCGTAATAAGAATTCAGAATCAAATATTCAAACAGTATTGTTAATTGGGCTAAATACGTAGACATATTTTCAATCAAAATTGAACAGATGTCTAATTTCATGTCCGGTTGCTAGATCTAGTCTAATTGATAAAACGCATATAGTATTCTCTCAATGTAAGATAACTACATTAATGAAAGTTACTTATATAATACTATAGCTGCAAAATATTATACTAGCGCATGAGGATGTGAAATCTAGTTTGGGGTATAGGAAAATTTTTGGCTGACTTCGGTTTCTAGAATAAGCATACCGTATTTGCGTGAATTAATGCCCATAGGCGTTATTTAGAGACATGCAATTCAAAGAGAACAATAATTAATTTAGCTGAAGGCTTTTAATACATAACAAAAAACTATGAATTAAATTCGGCCAAATTAATTATTAATTCTCTTTAAATTGTATAGCTCTAAATAACGCCTATGAGCGTTAATCTGCGTAAATATGGTATTCTCTGGCCCAAAAAACCCTGAAACTGAACCTTAATAAATAATTTGGTTTAAATAAATATGTACAAAAAAAAAACTAAACAAACCACTAACATTACTAACAGAATACACAACCATTACAGAATAACCAATACCTATAGCTGCCTTTGTGGCTTATCAGATCAACAACATACTGATAACATATGTCCACCTCTTGGAAAAGCTATTCGGAAAATATCTCTATGGACAATACAATGGATTAAATATAGTATACCAACTAATAATATTATACATTATCAAATCTAGGTGAGTTTTAACCACTCTAGTAGGTTTAGGTTGCAGATAAAATAGTCTGAGTCTCATTCTTGTAAAAATTTGTAAAATTTGGCTTTGGCCAGAGAAACCCCTTGAGGATTCTCAATACAAATTATTAAATAAAAATAAAGGCAAAACCTCACCTTAAAAAAAAAAAAAAAAACAAAAACAAAAAAAAAACTAATATAATGCATTGAAATTTGTATTGCCGCTCTTACCATTGCATAAAATCAAAGACCAAGCTATATAATTATTATAAGTTTTAGTATAATCTGTCCCTTAAAAATGTTTAATGACCAATTGTTTGATGATGTTACTGGTGAAGATAACATGTCATTCGAGTATGAAGGGATCTCTAATTTTGAAGAAATCTCTAATTTTGAAAATAATCTTTATGAAAATATTGTTAGTGATGGAAATATTATTGATGATGAAAATGTTACTGATGATGAAGATGGTGGCCATACTGAAGATGAAGAGAATAATACAACAGGATCTTTGCTTATCACATCTTACTTTACTTCCCGTGAAGGTCCTACAAAAAAAAGCTCAAACCTAAATGTAATGCAAAAAAAAAAAACAAAACCCGGAAGCAGCTGGGTATGGAAATATACTCGCCGTGATAAAGTAACAAAAGTCAAACATTGTGATGTTTGTATATATAATGATAATGGTACTTTTAAAAAGTGCACAATAGTGTTTATGTCTAGAACATCAACAACTAATATAGCTGCGCACTTGTATACTGAACACCAAATTTTTAAACCTCAAAAATGGAAAGCACAACCACCCCTAACATCAACTACAATTCCCACGGCAACCAATCAAAGAACAATTGAAATAGTAATACAAAAGCACATTGAAAACGCGTCGCCACTTCCTGAAAAACAGCAAAATCGTATTGCTTATCGGCTCGTTGCTTGGATAGTAGAGAAGATGATACCATTGAATTGTATTAATCATGATCGGTTCTGAGACTTCTGTTATGAAATTAATCAACGATTTCAAGTTCCCTGTACTAACACAATTAAAAACTTAATTAAAGAATCAGCACTTTATACACATGCAACATTAAAGAAAATGATGTCCCAAACGATGGTTTCTGTTTGCATTACTACTGATTTATAGACCCAAAATCATGTTCCATATATCGGCATAACAGCCCACTGGCTTTCTGAAAGTTTTACAATGTACCAATCCTTAATCACAATTGAGCATTTCGCCTATCCACATACGGGAGATCGGATTAAAGATTTTTTGCGCAAAATTCTTGCTGAATGGAATATGTTTAATAAAATCAAAGCGGTAATAACTAATAATGCAACATTAATGGTTAAAGCAATCATACAATTAGGCATCACCCACCTTGGCTATACAGCCCATACTATTCATCTTGCGGTCACAGACGGGTTAAAAAAAAATGAAGCTTTGATTTTACGTGCAAAATCATTAAACAATTTTTTGGTAAACCATGATAAATATCGATCGTTATTCCGAAAAATTCAGCATGAGATAATTGAAAAAAAAAAAAAAAAATCAATGCACCACCGATATGCGTATTTTAGAACCCATATCAAGTGATACAGCTACTAGGTGGAATTCCACTTATCTTGTTCTCCAGCGGCTTCTAGAACTTCGAGAATCAACTTTAGAATTGGCGAAAAGTTTGGAAAATGATCCTGACCGTACTATTCGTGCCGATGATTTTAGTCTAAATGAAAAGATGCTTTCTGATGAAGAATGGACAGGTAGAAAAAAAAAATCAAAGCATGAATATATACCTTACCGATAAATTATTAGATCATATAACTTTTTGTTCTCATAAGATTTTAAAATGTAACCCGGCACTGGGCTTTTAATTTTATTTTAAAAAATTATAAGAATAAAAATTTTTGTTTTAATTTTTATAAAAGACCACCCGGATAGCAAATATATATAAAATTGCTTATTAAATATAGTAAAATTTGGCCTTGCTGTGTTATGAGAACAAAAAAAAATTAACTTTGCTTGGCCTTATTAATAAAAAAAATTTTTTTTACTCTTATGCATAGGCCTAGTAGAGTTATGCCAACTCTTACGTCCATTTGCAAGAGTATTGACATTCATAGAAGGTGATCAATATCCAATGTTGAGTATGATGTATCCAACAGTGCGACACCTTTTTAAAAATTTAGATTCAATAGAGAACAAACTTACAAATATTGAGGTTATTGAAATGTACGAAGGTCTTTGTGAATCAATGGTATCTCGATGGAATGATCCAAAAATGGTCAGATGGCTTGCTTCATTTCTAGATCCCCGCTTCAAGACATTGTCAGCTGCCTCATCCACAACGCAGCAAGAGGTGCTCTGAGAATTACGTGAAGAAATTGAATCTAATAACTTACCAACTACTAATAAAACTCTAGATATGGAAATGTCTTCTTTTTTTGACGACGGAATTGAACCTTCATCCTCTTCTTCAATTGACACCGAAATTCAAATGTACCTCTCAATTCCGCAAATCTCTAAATATGATCCAAAAGATCCGCATTATAAAAAGTGTAATCCCTTAAGATGGTGGAACGAGCACAAAAGTGACTTACCTCTTTTTGCAGAGCAAGCACAGATTTTTCTTGGCATTCCAGCAACCTCTGTACCTTCTGAACGACTCTTCTCCGATGCAGGTAATACCGTAACAGATAAACGTAACCATCTAAGTCCTGATTCAGTTCATGATCTATTATTCTTAAAAGAAAACAAAAATAATTAACGTATACGTTGGTTTATAAATTGTGCACAAGGAACAGTGACACATGTCGTCCTACGGCTCATACACCAAAAGGTTAAAAAAAAAAATTGTGCGCGAGAATAAATTTAAAATTAAAATAGATTTTTTTTTTTATTTTATAAATTTTGATTAAATAAAAAAAAACTATACACACAGTAATTGATCGTTTAGATCATTTTTCCAAGAATGTATAAAGTATATTGCAGTTGATCGACCAATCATATCTATTTAAAATCACGTGCTCTGAATTAACCAATTAGGTTGATCGACTCCAACTTAGCCGGCTAAGCCGATTTTTAAATATCGACTTAGTCAAGTCGATAAATTAGGATCGACTACAAACACTAGGTAAAATAAAGTCTTAGCTTTGTAAAAAATTTTAATTATTAACGTTAAGATCTTATAACTTTGACCGAAATTAACGTGATATAAAATTTTATTAATGTGAGATAATCGAGTCTGATGCAAGCACGTAATGCGTACTTAATTACTATTTTGGCCACAGATGGCCACAAATGAATACCAAGTATAGCTGTTCGTGAGTGTGAAACGGAGTACACCATAAAAAAAAACTCTTAACTGTTAGTATCTGGAATTAGCCAGTAAACCTTAATCACTTTTTGCCATCACAGACGCTAGGTGTACTATAACGAAAATTTTTATAACCAATATGACAAAAGAAAAAAAGTCAAAGTCAGCAAAGGCCAAAAAAAGTCACAAGAACAAGCATAAGCTTTCGTACAAAGAACCTTTCCTTGATGGTAAATATTTTTTTCCTCTTTTTTTCAAAGATTAGATTAAATTTGTCACTGCGGCTTCAGATTTCAAAATCTTTCGGTTTTTTCGTTCGAATCTTACATTTTTTTCGTAAAGTTGTTTTGACCCTATAAAATTATATTTATGATTTTTTTTCATAAGATTAGTAATAAGCGAAGTACGAAAAGCTAACAACAGCTAATTTATTTATTTCATATTTTAAAGAGGTCCCTACACGAATTAGGCTTTCATTAAAACAGAACGCCGATACAGGCAAAAATAAGTCAAAATCGAAGCGTTCAGAAGTTTCTGACGATGCACTGGAAGGAAGTGAATTCGACATAGAGATGCGGGATGCAGTTGTGGATCATTATGATTATGAACAGGATACTGTAAATGATATTAATGATTCCACACTAAATATTAACGTTGGAGAGACTGGCAATACGAAAATAGACACATCTAAATCTTCGACAACTAACTCAAACAAGATGGTCTTGAAGCTAAAATTCAACTTAGACTCACCACCCCCTACTACGAAAAAGCATAAGCACAAACACAAGCATCATAGGGAACAAGCTGAAAGTTCTTCACATTCACACAAAAAAGCTACCGGCAAACGTACGACGCGCGATTCTTCAAATGATGAGTCTGATAAAAATGTCGATCTATTCAAGGAAGACGATAACAAATCTTCTCATGTACGAAAAAAGGCTAAACGCCATCACATTGATGAGAAAATTGAGATTAATGGGGAAAATAGAAATATAGAAAAATGTAGCGATAGTGTCAAGCGACATGTAGATGATAAATCCAAAAAGACAGAGAAAAGGTCGACGAATAAAGCTAACATGAATAAGTCATATACTGATAATATCGATCATGGCTTAATCGGAGACACTGTTGGAAAGCGTCTGACAGATGTTGATTATATGTCAGCTTGTGATAAGAAAGGAAAGACTATAAAAGGTGTTGTTAAAAAGGTCAAAGTCGAGAAGAGCCAAACATTAAATGATATTAAAAGCAAGGAAATATTTCAATATAGTAATAATGGTGAGAAATTAATTAATTATGAGAGCGCGAACCCTGTAAAAAGTGAAATAGACGGAGAATTTATTTTAGGCGATGAGGTCATAAAAGGAATCAATCATGATTCGAAAGAATTATTAATGCTTGAACTTGCAACCAACACATCCACATATTCGCTCCGTGAAAAACGGTCATACCCACCAGTTACGGAAGATACAAAAACAAAAGCCGATGAACGCAGTTCATCAAAAGCAGTTAAAAATACAAAAGTATTTTGCCAATCTAAGTGTGAAACTTCTACAGAAATTGTTTCGGACACAACAAATGTAGCTCCATCCATTTCGAACGAAACCCAATCATCAATACCATCCCTACAGGAAACAACCAAAACGATTACATCAGGTCCAAGCGATGTACAGAGCAGAATTATAAGTTCTGACATTGCCACAAAAGAAGATACAGTTATGTCAACATCTGTTGGCAAAAAAGGGCCAACACGCAAGCTTGGAAGACCTCCAAAATTACAAGAACCACAACGTAAAACGAATCCACGAACTTGGACATGGCAAAAAAAGAAAAAGGATCTAAAAACGATTTTAACAAAATTAATGGATTCTTTTAACAAGTAAATTGATAACTTGATTTTTACAGTTATATAGTTAATAATATTAAGTTTTTAGTTGCCGAATAATTTAAATCCTCTTAATAGGAAAGACGCGTATGGTTTCTTTTTAGAACCAGTCGATACCGCTATCGTAACTGACTACCTCACGATCATCCAAAGGCCCATGGATTTTGGAACAATGAGACAAAAAATTGAAAGGAATGAATATTCTTCCATTGACGAATTCAAGGCATGTTTTAACTTTTTCAACTAACCATGAATGCAGCATACTATTAAATGGAATACAATAGATTAATTTCTTCTTATTGCTTGACTTATTTTTCATAATAGGAAGATTTTGTTCTTGTGTGTAATAATTGTAAGACATATAATGCACCAGAAACACTTTATTATAAAAGTGCGGACAAGTTATGGCAATTTGGTGAAAAAGCAATAGAACGTGAAAGAGATAGCATTCTTTTAGAAGAGGAGAGAATGAAAGCAATGGTAATTAGTGCAGGGACAGAGATCGGACCTCGTGGAAATAAACCTAGTGGAAAAAGGGTAAATTCATCTTCCGTTGTTTATATAAGTTTATAGATTGCATTATGAATAAAAAAAATTCCTAAATTAGGCTATAAATGTTGCACAAGGCGTCGCATCTAGTAGAGGTACCTAAATAATTTTCTGGTTTTTTCATATTTGCAATTTTGCTTTTGAGTAACATTATAATTGACTCCGTTTCTATAATTTGTCCCTAAGCTTCATCTGTTTCAAGGTCAGGGAGACAAGTTCGAAAACAAAGAAGAGGGGAAGCACGTAAACAATTTGCTCCCGACGGTTCACTCATACATAGTAATATTCTATTCATTTGATGTCCATGACTATTCGATAGAAATTTATAACTAAAACTATTGATATTTCATGTTAATTCGTTAAAACAGATGATCCATTTACCTTAATTCCACAACCACCGCCCTTTGGCGAGACACCACTCCTTACAGTTATATCATCTAAAACTCAACGTCAAGGTATTATTATTTCTAGTAATTATTATTTATTAAAGAGACTGCAATAAATAAATAAATATTGTATAATATATAGCACGCTTTGAAGATTATGGTCCGTTTGCAACATTGGGGGTTGATCCACCTTTTTTCACGCCAGCAGATAAAGAATACATTTACAATATGTTTGGAGATGAGAAGGGCTATGCATACGCAAAGAGCCTTAAAGCATTTGTGGCGGATATGGGCGAAGACATGAATGTGCACGTGGATAAAATAATAGATAATTTAACTTTTGGTGTTCATAGCCTTGATCGACAAGTGTCGCATATATTGTCTAATTTAGATCCCAACAGGCCCATTGATACTTCGGTTATTATTCAAACCGAACTTGGACCTGTGAATGTGGGTGAAGAAATTGAACGAAATAGGCAACTTTCAGAGATCAAGAAGCAACAAACTGAACTAGATGTGTGGCAAAAAGATAAGATTGATTTAGACTTTTTGGTCAGTGATCAAGAAATAATAGCTATGACGAAATCGATGGGGAGTGATCAGCAAAGTTTTCAAAAAATGTTAGAACTCAATGCTCAGAATTTAAGTGAATTAATCAAGGCTAAGCAAGGTGTTGGTAATTTGGAGTCACAACAAAAAGAAAAACAACTATGGAAATCTCTAGTAATAAAGAA